GTTTCTCAAATACAAATAAGTTTCTGAATAATGGAAAGACTTGAAACTGTTGCAACAGATTTTCATAACCATATGAATACAAAGCGCTCGTACCTTCAAATATAAATGAGAATTTATATATATAAAACCCAGTTTTATCTATAACCTAATATAAACTTATAATAATTACTACATTTTATTTAAAGGTTTGTTTGGCTGATCTTTGGAATATGGTAACTGGTAGTTGGTGACATTTTGGAGGCGATAAAGGTTGCTATCTAGGACTTTGGTAATAATGTGAGAAGTACTCAGTTCCGATTACGCATTATTTTGTGTGAGGGAAATGAGAGATCATGAGATATGTCATGTGACATTAATGGACGAATTACGGTTCTTTAATCGGAAAAGGGGGGGAATCGGGAAAAAATCTGGAAATTTTGTATTTAGCTTTATTCTGTGTTGTGTGAAACAGTGTTGGTTAATTTTTGGTTCCCATGGCCCTAACTAAAGTGAATTCGAAATGGGTATTTAGTGGGATTGAAAGGGGTAGTAATAATTTGTTTTTTAAGGTTGTGCGAGATAGAAGTAAAGATGTTTTATTAAGTTATTTATTTTACTTGGTACCTTGCTGTGAACTATAAGTATGATTTTAAAGATCCTGAAACGGGCGCACATACGATTGCTTTTTATTTAGCGGAGGAAATAAGAAAAGTTTATCCGCCATGTAATCAAGTTTCTGAAGAAGATTAGGTAAGTTAGTATTTTTAATTATTTGAAGATATTATTTTTATGCGTTGTTCTAAATGTAAGGAGTAAATAAAGTAATATGGTATTATTGGAAAATTGTTATTAGCAATGATTTAGTTTAAAGTAATTAGGATTGTAAGCTAATTTTTATTAATTTAATGTATGTGCTTATTTATATTTTAAGTAGTGTTTTTGAATTTAATTATATTTTAATTAAATGATAGTTATTTTGTGAATTTTATGTTTGTAGGAATTTGGTATACGTTTCAGTTGAAGTAAACGTGCATGGAAATAATTTAAATATTTGACACTAAGTATTTGTAACCATTTGTAATGTTTGCGGTATGAATTCGTTGGTGACGTTTATAATATAATAGATAATTTAGAGGTAAAAGTTTTTGGATATTTTATTTATTTTATACGTGGAAATGTTCATCTTTGGAAAGGGTATATACTTTTTTGCGATCAGGTAATTTCATATATGTTCTTTTTACCGGGTTTAAAGATTCACAAAATTTTCATGCATTTTCGTGAAATTTTTCTAATTTATGAGAAAAAAGCAGTGTACATGGATATAGTGAAGAGTGTGCGCAATGCCATTTTTGTGCAATTCTGGGATGTTTTTTTAAGTAAAAATAAGTCGACGTGTAAATGGTTTATGTGTATGTGCTATTCTGAAAAACGCGCAAGGAGTTTGCGATTGTGCACTTTTTCCCAATTTTGCAGTTAATATTTGTCATGATTAAGCAGTTTTGTTACATAAAATTTCTAGCATAAGTGTAATTCGGCTAGTAGATTGTTGGAAAAAGTGTTCAGTAAATAAAAAGAAAAGAAACATGTCTTTACTTCGTGAAGGGCGGCGAAAAACAAATAGAGGGTTGCTGTAGCAGAGTTGGTCGCCAAAATTTCGCCAAAAAATCACCAAGTTACCATAATCCAAAGATCAACCGCGAATTTATATTTAAATGATAATTTTTAAAAATTCTTGCATCACAACTCAGTTAAGAAGATGTTCTACACCTTGGCATAGCTTAATCTCCAGCATGTAGCTTATTTTTAACCTAGTTTCAGGATTATTTGTAAAATTAATTACTTGAAATTATTTGTTAACAATGATGGTCGCTAAATCACGCTAATAATATTTCTAACTGTGTAATTTATAATGCAACGAGTTCGTGTGATTTATAATATGCTATTCATTTATAAATTTTTCAGCAGGTATTGAAATTAATAGCAAATATACTGATAATATTATACATTTAGATTACAGTGTTTTAGATTGCCATGTTGCCTTTCTTCATTGATGCTTTTATGCTACATTCCTAATATTTCATAATGGCATACTTGTTTGTATGGCATACTTATCTATATTTAACTCATTCACCAAACATGTTAGATCTATCAATTCGGCCCACTTTTGTTTTGACATGTGCTGTATCTTCTACTTTCTTTAATATATTGTTCAGCTTAATTTCGAAAGATCTTACGATCAAGCGGAAAAGTCACTAAACATTGGTAGTTCGATCCGAGTTTCTAATCCCAGAGATCCTCCAGCTTTTTTTTTTTTTTTACTTATTTACTGTGTAAATATGTAGCGTAAAAATTTCAGTTCATGAAGTAAAAATACTTTTTAAATTTATTCTTTAAAAATATTGCAAAAATTTTCACCTTTACCTTAGCATATCTTTTTACAAATCCCTCTAATAAGAAAAAAAAGGAAAGAAAATTAACTCGGTTTCGGTAATTGATACCTCGGTGGAAATTATATGTAACATTTTTCCAAAAGCATAGAGTTTATATGGATATAAATAAATTAAGGATTATTTCTCCATCTAATTTTCTTAACATGTTTATTCCAGAATTTACTTTTCACACTGTAGCGCTTAACTTTATGAGTTTTCTATAACCATTCAATTTCTCTAGCCATGGCAACTTTGCATACCTTCTGACAAGTAGTTATATTTTTAACCACTGCATTTTAATTCCTGTTGACTATCAGTACATTATTCACTTGTTTCACAAGTTCAACTTTTATTTTATACGCAAATCTACGTAAAATAGCATCAAAACTTCAGTTACGCTGAGCTCATCGATTGCTTGTTTTAGATTGAGTGAAATTAAGCTTAATGTACTGTTAATTAGCTTGTTATTAATTTAATTATATATTTCTAATTAATTCTATGTTCAGATATTTCCAAGTATATTATTCAAACTTTTGCATCCCAATTAATTTTTGGTTAAAAAAATAAACTTTTATTTATTGAGAGGCCTGACTGATTATATTAATTTGCAGTATTGTTTATCTAATTCCTTTCTTCTAGATAAATTTTAGAAAAAACTTCTTAGCATAATAATTTAAATTTATTTACAATTTATACGTCAGTGTTCCAAATGCATAGTAATGTTGTTATAATAGATTTCATGCTAAGCTTTTTTTAAATTTAACTAAATTTAATTTCTGCAAACACTCACATGATTACTTTAATACACAAAAAATACTTTAAGCACACTTACATTTTTATATGGAATAATTTTTTGCACGCTAGTGCACTCTATTAAATTTTCCAATCTAGTTCAGACATCTTGACTATTATTGATGTAATTTATTAAAAATATAATTTGTATGCTTTATAATTATTTAATTTATGATATTATTATAATAAATGGAAGATGTTTGTAATGCTAATATGTATGTTTACCAATACCTTTTATTTTCTTTGTTAGCTCTCGCATTTATTACTGTTATTCAAGTAATTAGCCTGCTTGTTAGATAGTTTTTTTCTTGGTCTTGTGATATGTAATTCTATTTATTTATTTTTATTTTCCTCTTGGCTACAATTGGCTTCGGAAAGTTAAATTGCAACAGCAGGGGGAAGAAATTCTGATCGGCGCAGTTGGACTATAGCAGGACCCGGGGGAAACTTTCATTAGCGCAGTTGGAGTACACCCTTGGCGAGAATAGTAACTTCTGAAATTATAAATAACTGTCCAGTTTACATAACAAAGTTCACAAGTATTTAGATCTACATACGAAATATTTAGATTGGCAGCAGCGAGTGTAATAAGAGATTATTTAACTGTAAAATCTCCGTTTTACCCGAGGCTGCATTATTTTTATTTCTTGCATATTTGGCACTTTTAAAATTTAACTAGATGACCGGGATAAAAATGACAACTGACTGTGACGCAGTCAAACCTATTGACAAACCAGAACAGTTCCAGTGAACGACAAAACGTCTTAAATATAGTTTCTCAAATATTAAATAAGTTTCTGAATAATGGAAAGACTTCAAACTGTTGAAACATACTTTCATAATCATATGAAAATAAAACGCTCATAACTTCAAATTTATATGAGAATTTATATAATATATAAATCCCAGTTTTATCTACATTATCCATTACAACCTTATAATAATTACTACATTCTAAAGTTATTTAAAAGTTTGTTTATTTAGTAAAATTATATTTTGCATTTAATTCAGAAATACAAACATTATGGAAATAAAACAAAAATATAATGAATTTTCTTAAGGAAAATTATAAATTGCAATGACAAAAGATAATGATTTTACATATGCAAACTTCATTCATACTCTTTTCCCGTATTTCAACAACAGATGATTTTCATTATTAATGAAAAAAGCATCATACACCTTCGATAAAAAAAGATAATTCTATCAACAGAATTAGAGGACTGCAAAGTATAAAAACTGTAATTAATACATTTTTAAGACAACGGTATTCATAGCAATACGCGAGCATATCAGAAATCAAAGACTTTTTTTAACAGTTCGAAAGACTTTTTTTTTAACAGTTCGTATCGTGGCATTCTAAACATGGAAACATTTATGTGTTAAGTTATAAGCATATTTTTAAAATGGAACTCGCATATTACAATAAAATGATAATTTACCTTCACTTAATTGCAAAAAATTATAATGTTCAAAACTTGCTTTTAAACGTACTTCCAAATAACTGCAAATAAATCAAGTTTAAAGCATTCTAGTTAATTGTAAACACGAAAAAAAATTGGGGAAACATTTTGTAATTACAAAAATTACACTACATTCATCAGTATATATTTCAACAATTACTGACGATGAATTAGCCGGGATGATAGATTTCTTCAGTGACAAAATGGCGTTCATGGATACATTAATGGAATATCAAACACGTGACTCACTGTTTTCGTACTGTGATGTTTCAGATACACTGAACTAATACACTTCACCTGCTAAAGGGCAATTTTCTCACACAAGAATAGTAAACAGTTATGTTGAATTTACATGTTGAAATGAAGAAACAATAAAAGCGGCGGCTTTTTGCATCATTTCTTCATCCTTATTCTTATCGGCTAAATTTAACGCTTCCACAGCTGTCGTAGTGGACGCAAAAGAAGATGTAATAAAATCACGACACGTATCTTTGAGATCCGTTATCAAATACTTTTCAGCTGCACAATACAAATCATGAATCTTCGAATACATGGACGAGTTTATTTTACCACAATAAAGAAACTTCATCAGCTCTTCAAGGATATCAGGGTCGATATCAGTGATGATGATTCGGTTGTCGCTGCTTTCAGTGGTGACGTGTTCGAACATCTTAGCAAATACTGGAGATCTAGCAGAAAGGACGCACTTGTGAACACGGATTTCTACGCCTTTGCAGTTAACAATTAAGTCGGAGTGAATCTGCTTTTCATACATTCCATGCATATCGCACAACAACTTAAGAGAAATTTGGCAGAGTCAGCACTGTTTTTTCGTCCGTTTCTGTTAATTCCGTAATCCATGCTATACAAATTATCTTTGCGGTACTACAAGGTAAACATTTTCGATCCTTTACAAAAACAGTTACATGTTTACTATCGCTGTCAATAATGCAATCCAATTCGAACGACATGTTAGAATAATTTTCGTGGTACAGAACTCCTTTTATCTGAAGTTTTTTACCATAATTTTCCCGACGAAGTTGCAGAGTTATCGTTGACTTATGGTAACGACCACAGTCGCTCATACCTTGGTAAACTGCGGTGTGATTCAGGTACCATTTCGTAGACATTATTGGACGAGAAGGATTACTTCGAAATTCTGCAGAAGAACTTATATCTGTAAAAGTTTTCCATTCGTAATACGTAGTGGTCCAATCGATACGCAAGCGTTCACACGCCATTGAAGCCTTACCCAGAAAAAATACAACTTACCAGATCCTAGGCTTCACCAAAAAAACGATGGCGCAGTAGACACTCTTTTCCAGTTTCAAATCGTATTTACATATTGCGTAAGAGTAGCAATGACGTATTCCGGTCTTTTCGCTAGGATATCAAAACCAAGGTCATCTAAACGGGAGAATGAGGATGGATTACTTATGCACCGCTGCTTCCGCTATAAACATTATGCTCATGATCGCTGAAAGCATGCGAAATAGAAATTTTGAAAGTGAGAATGAATTTATCGTTTATTTTATTTTCATTTTTTATGTACGAGGAGCGTCAATAAAGTAACCGGATAATTCTTATAAATGAGAAAAAGCTTACTTATCTTGAAGTTCATTAATCTACATTAAAATAATAGCTAGGAAAAGTGCATACAATTTTCCTAACCCTTTTTCAGATCACTGTATATAAGCGTTCGCAAGATTCTCATAGCATTTTTGGGCAAGCGCCAGCGAAAGAGACATCTATTCCCTACAAAAAATTCAAAACAAGATACTTCGGATAATCACCGGAGCTCCATACTACGTTAGAAACAAAAATATGCGTGATCTGAAAGTGGAACTTATTTCTGATTTTCTGCACAGAATAAATACTAAATTTTATGATAAAGCTACACAGAACACATCCGCCGGCTTTGCAGATACTTTCGCTTACGAAATACTTGAAGAAGACAGGAATAATAGGCCATTTGCAACTTTTTCTCTTAGCTAGCGCAAACACGCAAAAGCAAGATCAACATATGTAACCTTCGTATTAATTTTATTGCAAAGTTTGGACTTAAAAACGTTCAGTAGCTCAGGAGTCACAGAACTGCCACCACACCCCTGATAGGACAATGTTAGTCTTCTGTCATCACATCCTCACTCCCCAGTGAGATTTCAGAGACAATGTGTTCTTATTTTTACTATATTTTATCTTACGGTACACACCTTAATGGTGGACCAATTTGATGAGCCCTTATGTGAGAGGCCCCTCGTGGGATTCTGAGAAAAGCTCTGGTAAGAAGGGAATTAATTCCCGCTGTAAACCAGAATATAAAAAGCATCAAAGCATAGCATTTCATATAATATCCGAGGCATTTTCAAATTCCTGTCCTTTCATGATCATCTTAATTTTGGAAAAAGGAAAAAATCAGATGGGGATAAGTCAGAAGAATATGATGAGATATTTATCGTTGAAACTAAATGCCTAGCAAGATATTTTTGTACAGACAATACTGCATGGAGCCTAGCATTTTTTCGTGTAAAAGAAATCATTGCTCAGAATCATAACGTTCCTTCCTGGCTCGCCTTATCTTGTTTCTTGATTGAAAAATAACCTGCTTGTAAAACTACTGATTACTGATTGACTTTCAGGAACAGTATGTAAAAATACTGATACTAATTGACTTTCAGGAATAAATTCATGATGAATTAGTCCCTTTTAATTATAAAATGCAACCAGCATTACCTCAGTCTTACCAGCTCTTTCTACTGTGCATTTTATCTTTCATCATGAGTCATATTGTGGATGCCAGATCTCATCTGCCGCTATGATACATTTTAAGAAAATGTTTTGTCAGTAGTCAGCGAATAACTACTCACTCCTTTCAGAGGAAGGAATACGCCAGAGAAGAAAATGAGTCCCAGATGTGCTGTTTTTTAACGTTTTGTGTGTTACCTTTATTTATTAAATATCATACTCTTTGCACTTAAACCATAAAATTCAGTTCAATAGCAATGTCTCAAAATAATTTAAAAATGAGCATATCTTTAGAATTTCCGATACACAGTTCCGCGGGGGGGGGCGCTGGAGATAAAAAGGTCTTTTTTTTCCATGCAGAGTGTTGCCATTGCTTGCTTTTAAATCGGAAGTTTGTTACTCTAAAATTCTTTAAAGTTTTAGAAAATATGAGATCGATAATAAAACAAATTTCAAATTTGGTCTTCCACATGCCCATATTCGTAGGAGGATTACGTCATTCAAAATTCGATGGCTCTAAGTACCGTTGTTTTATCACAATGCGAGAAATAGACATACATTTATGCAGATTTTTCATTTTTTAATATCTTCAAATATAATGCAGGACTCTAACATTTGGTGGCAACTGTTTGAAAAGTGAAACGGACATTTATAGTGATTCAACGCAAAATCGCAAAACGAAAACAATAGTCCTTTAGGGACAAAGCCCCTTTGGACTAATAATCAAAGAACGTTTTTTTTCTGTTCATATCTAAATAAAAAGCTCAAAAATTAAAATGAATTAAGAATTTAAATTAAAATTTAATCTTAAGATAATTAGCGGGCATCTTCTAACCTTAGGCTTCTATATTTAAAATATTTTTGTTAATTGCTACGGCTATTATATGTAGGTCTGGATTTATACTTGAATAGGCTTTAAGTTATTTGAAATATGAGGCCTATTTATAAGTTTATTAGACTATATTTTAATGCTATAGTTATACTGCATTTAAAAGTTTTGGGGGGCGAAGTGGGAGAAGTAAGCTATAGTTTGTGTACTTTACACGTAAAATCTGCATTGATTCTATGCTATTCAATACAAAAATTAGAGTTATGCTCTTTAAATTACTTAGTAAATAAAACTAAATAAGGATCACAATAAACAGTAAAAACGTTAAGTCATATATAATACCCCAGTGTGTATTAAACAGAGAAGTGTAGAAACGAAGAAATAAATAATTCAATATATTAAAAGGAATTAAAATACAGAAAAGAGAAAAAAAATTATCATCAAAATTTCCAGCAGTCTTCTATTCCAAACAAGCAGCAATCATTCCTTCAGTTTCGTAAAACAGAAATTTTAAAGGGAATGGACGAACGAAAGGTGCTATTAACCGCTATATACCCGAAAAGATTAACCATGATAATTGATAAATGAGAGCAGTAAGAGCACCAGCGCTTTACCGTGCGTCAATGGATGCTGCTCCATGACTGCAAACTTTCTGTGAGTAAGACACGTTTTCAAAGGTGCATTACTTCTCCAGCACCAATTATTGAGCACATCTGCGAGACTGGATTTGTTGTATATATTCAACGTTTGTATTTTTGACGAAAAAATGCTTGTGATGAGTTACTTTGATGATTAATTGCTTGGTTAGATTTTTATAGCAGAACTTGTAAAATAAAAGCTAATGGCTTAATGCAGAGTTTCGCAAACGTTTTTTCCATGTGGAAATACTCGAGAACTCCAAGACTGGAATTTCGGCGAGAACACTGCACTTTTTCACGTCTCCTGTTTAAAAAATACCCAATGACTCTACAAATGGCGCCCGAACTGGACAATTGGTGAATCACCAGGATTTAGCGTTATCCTGGATTTATCACCATGATTTGGCGATTGGGTCCCCTAATCTCCAGTCACCCTTTAAATGGAAGAGTATATTTTCTCCGTCTTTCCAGCATGTTTTCATGGTGTAATGGTAACATACTTAAAACGTATTTGAGAGGACCAGGGTTTCTCCAGTTAAAAAAAAAAAAAAAAAAAAAAAAAGTGTCTCTACAAATGTCGCCCAAACTGAAAGGTTGTAGAGAATATTTCATGATCAGCAAAATTTGGCGATTGCGTCCTCTAATCCCTAGTCATCCTTTAAAAGGAAGATTATATAATGTAGATTCTCTTTCCTTTCAGCATGCCTTCGTGGTGTAATGGCAGAATATTTATGCATATTTGAGAGGTCCAGGGTTCGAGTTCCGGCGAGGGCACTGCGTATTTTTCATGTATTCTACTTCAAAAATCATTAACTCTACAACCTTAGTCTTGTCTCCTCTGAAAGCAGTCTTTGATAATGTGTTACAACTAGTATAGTTATATTTTAAAAATACAACGGACTGAAATCAATTTAATTTTACATTGGTAACTGCAGGTAATTTTACGTTAACTGCAGGTAATTTGTATTTGGTTTTAATAATTGAAGTCTGTTAGTGTTCGGATAATCTTAATCATCTTTTTAACTAAAAATATAATAACTGTTGCTACTTCTATTCCTGAGAGGGATGAGCCTGCGGATTCTTGCGAGCTGTTCAATTCATGAATCTACTCTCGTAATGAGAACTACACTTACAGCAATTAAAATTCCTCTTTTGTTTCTGAAAGCGTTTTTCTTTAGACCAAGAAATGTGCCCATCAACACTGTTTACAAGGCCACCCTGGTAATGAAAAAAGATAACACTGAAGCTTTTGAGGTTGCTGAAGATCATAAAGCTCTCAATCAAATTGGGAACAGCGGAAGTAAGAAGAGACTACCAGAGATGTGATTATTTCAAGTGAAGACAAATGGCTCAGGCTGTTTGGTCACTTCAAGGAGAATCACATAGCAGCCCCCAATCTGATCAAGATTTCTGAGTATGCTTTCTGCTGACCTGGGACATCAGCACCAGTTGAGAGAATATATTCTTTGATGAACAACGCATAGACTGATGATAGGAGTTTGATGAAAGAATTTACGGTCAAAGGCTTGATGAGATATAAAATTAATATTGGATTAGCTTTTAAAGAGTTTT